TGTGTGTGCGTGTGTGGTTCTTTTGATCCTCCTACCCGTCGTTTTTTTTTGTTTTTTTTTTTTTTTTTGTGTGTTCGTTTGAAATTACGGCATTTACGTGGATTCGCGAAACAAGTCCTGCTACGGTTTGAGTGACGTGTGCGGTGACTAGTCAACGATGATACTGGCCGGTAACCTCTCTCCCGACAGAGAGAGACTTCTTGAAGTTCGTGTTCAAATGTTTTCGTGATGGATCTTGTCGGACGTATGGATACGATCGACAGGTGATAAACAAGTTATTTATGGGCTTTCTTGGGCATGTAAGATGCAAGTAAAATGCTGCAGTCGGTTTTTTTTTTTTTTTTTTTTTTTTTAAATCGTGATAGAAAGGAATTTTGTTCTTCGTCGTTATCTGTTTGCTATTGCGTCAACATTTGTAAATATGCGTGGTAATATTCTAGTTTTTACTGGAAGGTAAATAGCAAGTTTGTGTGATTATTGAAAGTAGGTTGTTTGTGCTTATGTGTTCATTTATACTAATGTTATTTTATTGCCTTTACCGCGTTTATACTAGAATCTTAACTGTATTAATGTAATAGTATATTGTATACAAAATGGGTTATATTTTGTTCTTATGCAGCTCGAGCCCATAGGGAGAAGTAAATTAGTTGACTGTAAATACTAAGTTTAGTACCCCAGCCACACGGAAAAGTTAATATATTCTGATTAAATAATACGGGATTTAATCAGCTCGCTGTTTTGAGTGATTATACCAGCGTCGCAAGCTGATTTGTCGACCCCATATTGTCATTCGATCGAAATTACATTATTTTAATTTAGTGACTGCACGCGATAACATCGCTTATGATCGTAAGTGACACTTGTCGAGCCGTGTCCGCGTTGGCTACATCTACCTGATTTTTAACTGATCTGTATTGCTGTGTCCAATCACTGCGTGTCTCGCCATTTTTTCAAAATATTTCTGTATAAAATATGCATTCCTGCAGCAATGATTCCGTGACTCAATACTTTCTACTTAAAACAATCACATTTTCCTATAGACGTCTTCTACACATACCTCGTGCCATTTCGTGTCGATTATTTAGCGGTGTAATGTTTTGCCCGTGTAATAAAGTGTTTCTTAGACCCGTTGTAATGTGCAGCTTTCATTTTAGCCAATAAGACACGCGTATGTGACGAAAAGCGCGTTACGACGGTCGATCCACGCGCGTTGCCTTCGCATCGACGCGTGCCCCCGATGGCCTTCCTCTGCGACGTCACGAGAAGAGCGCTACGGCCTTATTTCTAGGAGGTGTTGGCTCAGCGCGGCGCGCAGCTTGGAGGAATGCGCTACGTATGCGAATGCTTTCGCATCCCGACACGTTAGCAGTCTTTTTGTTTTCTTTCTTTATTTTTTAAGAGTTCTACAAATCTTGTGTTTTGCCTATTTCAGCTTGTCCGGAAGTAGCGGACACATCAATTTATCCTGACAATACACGTTGCTAAGTAATACGATACGTGGTATGGCGTCGAGAAACTAAGGTTGAGGAGGAGACGAGAGCGCGTGGGGACGTCAGAATGCCGAGCTCTGGTTGAAATGATTTGTGGGGGTAGACCTAAAGCTAGCACTGCCTTTGTCTCCACTGCCCTCGTCGAACGCGTTCGAGTGCTAAAGACAAACGCCGGACGCCTCCGTTCCGCGCTCTAGCGCGTCCGACGAATGCAGTAATGACAAAGGTAGCTAGCTTTAGGTATACCCACTAATCCTTCCAATCAGAGTTCGGCGTTCTGACGTCTCCACGCGCTTTCGTCTCCTTCTCTCCCTCAGCTTCACTGCGTATAGAGATCTGTCTTTCGCATTTCGTTGGGAGCTAGCTAACTAGAAAGACAGAGTCGTCAAGCTGTGCGTAACAAGCATACACTTAGGCACCCTTCCCCCCCTTCTCCTTTTCACTGCCCAGCTGCACACCTCTTAGCGCTGGGCCTGCGGCGCACCCCCCCTCCCCCGCAGGCCCTTAGTGACGCCACTGCATAGAAGACAATACAAACGACATGGACATTTAACTTGCAACAAAACGCCTGCTGGCTTCAACTTGCCTCCCAAAGCTCCACGGGGGCGCTACGAAGAGGGAAGAGGAGAGGGTAGTGGGCGGGGATGTCACAAACTTTTGTTGAACCCTAGGTTCGATGTCGAACCTCTAGGTTCGAATGGTTCGGCGAATCTTTGAACTGTCTGCAAGGTTCAACGGAGTTCGACTTATAGATAATGTTGCACGGCTTCTACACGAAGATTTCGAATCTTGGGAAACAAACAGAATTATAAAGTACAGGGTTCGATCTAGAAAAGTAAACCCTACTTTTCGGCCCGCGTAAAAAGAACTACGCATCACAGAACGCTCAAACTCCGCCAGAATGTAACCCTAGCGGTCCAAGCAAGATGCCAAAGTTTCAGCCCAATCCGATAACTTAATCAAAAGTTATAAATGATTTTCTGAAAATTTCAACGGGAAAATGGAGCCCATTTTTGCCCGTTTTCGGTTTCTGGTGTCATAGAGCCCCATGTGTTCGAAAACTCCGTCGGCGGCCATTTTCCCATTGAAATTTTCAGAAAATCACCTATAACTTTTGATTAAGTTATCGGATCGGGCTGAAACTTTGGCATCTTGCTTGGACCGCTAGGGTTACATTCTGGCGGAGTTTGAGCGTACTGCGACGCGTAGTTGTTTTACGCGGGCCGAAAAGTAGGGTTTACTTTTCTCGATCGGACCCTGTAGTTTATTTTATATGGTATACAATTATTACCAAAGTTTAAGCGATATAAAAGCAAAAATGGGAACTGTTATGTTCTTTTGACATAAATAAGGTCGGGTTGTAATGGATTAGATGACGAATCTTTTAATGGCGAACACTTCGGCTACATGAGGTTGGAATATGTGTATTAGGCTTGGTCAACGTACTATGCCTATGTTTTAAGTGTGCCGTAGGTGGTGCTAGGTACGCGCTATATTTAACATGCCTTCTTGATGCTTTAGTTTGAAACTATAAAACTTGCGAAAAATAAAACAACTGAAGTCCAAACTTTGGATTAAGTCCTTGCAACGACTGGGGAGCCTCACTTCATACCCAGAGGATCTGCAGGTTGTCCCAGGAACGGCTTGAGCTCGGCAGTCCCTGGTTGGAGTGGGTGATGCCGGTACACAGCGGTTGACGTCACACTCAGATGACAACTGTAAAGCTGACTGCGCAGGTTCCTGGAAGCGCGGTCTCAGATGCTGTATGTACGCATGTATAAAACACCAGCCGTTGACTTGAAGGTGTATGATCGATTAGGTCCCACGTTGAGAACTGTAGCTGAGGCCCATCATCCATTCGACCAAACCAAAGTTTGACGCCAGCCTTCAGTGGTCGCAGGAGAGCCCTGAGCTTGTTCTCATGAACATGCTCTTTGTCCTGGCATGTCTGTAGCTGCCTCTGGTGCAGATTGTATGGGTAGTGCGGTCGTAATATTTTTGGATGAGCTGGTAAAAGCGTTCTCACCTTGCGACCCATTAGCATCTCCGCCGGAGACGGAAGGTCATCTTTGGGAGACGATCGGTAGTCAAGGAGGACTCTGAAGAGATCTTGGCCGTCTTGTGATGCCTTGCAAAGAGAGGCTTTGATTGTTTGTACACATCTTTCAACTTGCCGTTTGAACGGGTGTCGTACTGTATCGTCCCAGACAACGTCTAGGACGAGATCTAGGACGACGTCGAGGACGATGTCAAGGTAGTTAGGTCCTTCGAAGAGGGTGCGAATGTGAAGGAGTGCGTATCGCCGCTCCGCAACGCGCAGCGCAATATGGGGTGTAAGCACAGAGAGCTAAAATGGTCTATTGTGCATATCTACTGCACATTAGGAGGCCAAGATGTACATAGCTGAAAATCTTGAGTAGTAGCTTAATAATGCTGTCGCATAAATAAGCGTTTATCTAGTTGCATAGCCACAATTATAATAAATGATTTCGACATTGTTTTATTTTCATTAATTGAAAATTAATGAAACGACGGATTGAAGCTTTAGAGCTGATGAAAATAGTAATATAGTGCTTTTTTGTATTTTTAATGTTGCAGTGTTCCCGAACAACTTGGTGTAAGCCTACGTTAAAGTGCATTCAAGAAAAAATTAGGAAAAATATCATCCTTAAGTACCTGACAATAATCATTTATAGGTTGTGGATGCTGACGCGGCCCTTAAGACAAACCCACCGCTTCACATGGTGGAAAAAAAACCGAGACTGCGGGTAAACGACACAACACTAAAAATTCTCTCCTTTTTAGTGTTGTGCTGTTTACCCGCAGTCTCGGGTATTTTTTCAACCATGTGCAGTGTGCACCAGCTCGTTTGCGCACTTACATTTTGTCCACCGTTTCAGTTACTTTCCGCACCATGCTGAGATGAAAACTTAACTATCACCACCTTATTCTTCTGATTAATTTAATTTCATCATCTCTTAAGAATATATTGTCCTGTGACTGTTTCCCTCAACGGTGTATGTTTTGTCTCCAGTGTGAATAGGGACACTATTTTACCACATACTGCACCAGGGGTGGTATTGGAGACAACGTGGTTTTTTGTCATATTGACTTAAAAACTATGCGCAGCGTCATATACTTTCGTACCATGAGCATATCTGAAGTGCCAGGTAAGTTTCTGTTGTCCTCCTTCTCTTCCCAAAAAGAAAAGGGAGATAATCTTTTTTTTTTTTTTTTTTTTTGAAGTGCATTGCGTTTTAATGTAAGTTCACAAACAAATTAATAGGAAAACTCTTGATAAAGGTAGAGAGTTTAAAGGAAAGAGGAAAAGCATGAAATGGTCTAAAAAAAAAAAAAACACGTGGTTAAGTGGCTTTTCTGATTAAATAGAATCTTGAAGAAACTGCGACGGCGTGATTTAGTCGCAACTAACTGGATAGAAAGAACTTCATATCAAAGTAAAAACATAACACCAGGGAAACAGCATTTTCAATTTATTCCATGCTCGCGAAGGATACGGAAGTTGCCAAAACACTGTTTCCCGGGGCCGTACAAACAGGGGGCCCCGTAGAAAAAAAGATAGTCGGGTAAACGAAAGAAGAGCACGACATATTCATCTGGTCATGGCACGCAGGATCCAAGGCACGTAGTGGGTCACTCTTGTGTAAACACCCGGATAGGTTTGGTCGTTGCATTTCTCGCGGAATGTAGCAATTCCAACCGCCGACCACTTGTAGGTGCGGTCCGTGACGATCATGGGAGATCCCAGGTATCTCTGGAAATAAATAAAATGGTTTATACATTATTGAAAAAGCTCTGATCTTTGACGTCATTGAGGGACACCTCCGCTGAATTTTTCAAAATCTGAAGTTAATCTCTTTTCTTTTTTTTTTTGTTTTTTTCTTTCTTAGCGTACAGCGCGCTCGGGAGTGACGGCAACACTGCTAGGCAGGTGTGGTGACAGCGGGAGCGGCCATTTCGTGCCACGCGTACGGCTGGCTTGCCCTGACTGAGTAGACAACTCCAGTTGTAAGGTAGGACACAAGACAAAAAGAATGGCAAAGTTTATCCACACGAACATTACCAAATGTTCATCAACATAAAAGTCCGAAATCGAGGAACAATTAAAAAAACAACTCAGGTTTTCATAAAGGTGACATTTCAGGGGCGCGCCTATCTTTTCTGTGCTATTTCTACCTAACACGGCCCAGACTTGCTTCAGTAGTTAGTGACCCACTCGCAACAAAATAAAGAGCTGATGGTAACACTTTTTATGGCAGTTTGTGCAAAGTTCCCGGTGTCATCCTGATGTAACCATTTGGCTGTGATCATATTATGTACAACGAAAGCGATATCGCTTATTTAATTTCGTTAAAACTTTTACCGGAGTTGCCCTTTAATTAAACAAGAACAGAAAGGTGATTCTGTCACTCTAATGTTGATAAGCACAGTCTATGTCATAACCGATAAAATTTGCTGCGAGAAAATATGAGTTGGTGGTGCCTTCCCGTTCAGCTAGACACTCGGCAGATTCTCCGACAAGCATCATCTCCATGGGGCCGATATGATGCAAGGTAAGCTGCTCATTTATTAAAGAAGCGCAGAAACAGGTATATAAGTAAATGTGGTAGGTGCGAAAGCAAAGGCGGTCGCGTGCAAGTATGCTAAAATTTTGAAGATCTTATTGCGAAACCCCTCATCCGAATACATCAGCTGAATGTTGCCCAAAAAGTAATTGGTTACAATAGCCCCCCGGTGAGGTATAAGAAAAGATTAATTAGCAAGAAGCCAAAAGTAATTGAACGATTACTTCGGGAGAGATTGTCACGCTTCTGATCCCCTCGCTAGGTCACGTAACTATCGAGGTAGTCGATCTCATTCTCGCAAATAATAAAATGATTCCATGACCACTAATATTATATGATTACATGTAACGCGTGTTGTACAAGTCTGGCTATAACCGGAGCGACATTACGTGAAGTAGACACACGCTCTTACGTTGCAATCTCCTTGCGTTCCACGCAGGTCGGTGCACAGCTGGCTCGCAATGAGGCCCCTCGGCATTTCTGGTGACTGCACGCCGGCGTATATGTTTGCGCAGTCGTAGTTTGTCGAGATGAGTGCCCGGCGAGCCTTCAAAGCCATGGGACTTTTAATTCCTGGAAAGAACAAAGACGGATCACGCAAGCCGCTGGACAGGACTCTAACAATCCAGGCGCGTATAGCTCCCGTGAGTTTGGCAACTTGTCAAGCACAAAGTCGCGACTGAGAATAACGGAGCGCGCCGATTGCGATTGAACCCTGCCGACGATGACTCCGCGCTTTTGTCGCCGAAGTCCAATCGGTGCGCTCTGCGAACTGTGGGCTTCAACTTTGTATTTGACGAGTCTAGAATCCCCTGGAATGAACACCTCGCCAAACCACATTTTATGGACCTCGCTTATCAGCAACGTTACCATAGTACTTGGGAGACCACTGCAGCACGTAGGAAAGTCTATTGTCGTAGGTGTCCGTGCCCGTCGGCAGGCAGATGGGCATGGTGTCGTTGGATACTTCGGTCCGCAGGGTCAGTACGGCCACGTCGTCGTAGCTGCCTCCGTTGACGTAATCCGGGTGCAGCTCAATGTACCGAACATCGTACTCATTCCCAGTGTCGGTCGACTCCGAGTCCAGCCGCACCGTAAACAGACGAGGGTCCCTGAAGCAAGAACACGGCAGATACTCAATTGAAGGGTTAAGCACTATTTAGCGAATATAGTAAAGTTGCGCTCTTGACCATGCGGAGTTCCCGCGCAGATTAGAAATAAGAAAAGGTGAATCGCGAACTTTCCAAATAACATGGAACACAGTGAATAAAGGTGACGGCGATTTACAAATGCCATAAATCAACTTGCTATACTAAAGAGTATAATATAGCAAGTTGGTTTAAAGTACGTGAAAGGGCGACGGCAGATACTCTTTCACGTGCTTCAGAGTAAAGATAAACAAAAAAAAAAAACTACTGTGTCACAAAATGACCCGGTTGTCCTACCATTAGGCAGACTCGTACACATTGAGGCACCTACTGGTAGTTTGATTGCGCGTCTGCATGACCAGTCGGATTCACGTGCTGCTGCGTGAAAAGGATAGTCGCGAACTCTGGAAGTGTAGGATCGTCTTGTCTGTCCTTAGCATATTTCGCATCACCGTGAGTAAAGGCCCACTTGCGAGTTAATTTTGACCTGCGCAGAGCGGTAGTTCGCTGACTTACTTGGGAACCGGATCGAAACAGTGAGCCGCCGTCAGGATGTGTCTTTTGCCTATCAGCGTTCCACCGCAGAGGTAGTCGGGATTTCTTCCGCGGCTGTAATCCATGATAGACGCCTGCGACAAGTTTCAAATAAAAAAAACATTTACCCGAATGCTTAGGACATGAAGTTTAATCATTTGTCACGTTTTGCTCATTTTTCTGTTTATGGATTTTATCTGGTGCCATGAATGTTACCCGCCAGTGGGCCCGCGTCGAAATGTCTCCGGATGATCGTCGTAGAACAGCAGTACGAGGCTGGGTCTGCGACGAGTAAGTAATTCTAGTTTTGCTATATACGAGCAGCAGGATTAGAGCCTTACTTTATTTTTTTTCACGTCATAGAGGTGTAGGCAAGCACCCATAGTGACAGATGGGCCAGTTGGTACATGACTTATTTTGACAAAATACACCACAAGATAAGGACAGAGTAAGTGCTATATACGAGCGCAACGTGTTGTCTTACTCTGTCCTTGTCTTGTGGCGCATTTTGTCGAAGTTAGGCAAGCACCTTTATTGTGAAGTCGATCATCCAGGACCTAGGGAGCGAGATTCTTACACCGCGGCACCACCATCGCTGAAAGTGGCGAATTGGCTCTACTATGCTTTTAAAACTAAATGGCATCAAGGAAACGCCATGGCCTAGATAGAATATAGTTTGTATACGCTGTGCCTTGCTTTCTGAATGTGTTATGTACTCCGCGTGCCACAGTACGCGGATTTATGTACCTGGTGTCTCTCCTTTAACCCGGTCGTGCATAAAGACTGCAGACTCTGCCTGTGAAGAATGGAGCAGAAAATGCTCATACAACCAATTGAAGTAGAGTATATCAAAAAATATATTTCAGAATTTAAGGTATGAGTACATGGTAGCAAAACGAAAACGAAACGCAAAGGAAAAGTAAGAGAACTGACACACAGCACTGTGCCCACTTCCTCACATTTTTCGCTTGTGTTTCGCTCTGTTTTCTCTTTTAAACTGAGTTTTATGAGACATTTATGTTTGCTCTTTTGCGTTGACAGTCTACAAGCTTCAAACTCAGTCGTTCGGTTTTATTTTAATTATTTTAAGATTTAAATTTATTGCGTGAGCAACACTCAAGTAATCATTTCGTGTCCTGCCACAAATATGAGAGGCTTAAACCACAACAATCGTTTACCGCCTAGTCACGCCTTCCTTACCACTGCAGTACTTGGAACAGGCTGAACAAAGAGTCCAACGTAGCTGAGTACATTCTTGTTTTCTTCCCTGATGGTACTCGACTCTATAATATAGTCGGTGACAGGTTAAGATTGAAGTGGAAGCTCCTCCCACCTCTTTCCACTTTAGCAGAGCAAACGCTGGAAAGGAGGCGACCACCTCTGCGGTGTTCGCTCTGCTCAAGTGGAAGGAGGCGGGAGCATGCAGTTCCCCATTGAACTCTTAACCTGTCACCAACTATAATTAGGTATTAATTATTACGTGTAGCGCGCATATGCTCGGAGTATCGTCTACATTAGCGCCTATTTCCTCAAAGCGTAAAGCTTCATCCCCTATCCAAACTTTCCTGGTTTCTTAGACAGCGCTGCACTTAATTAATCGGCGTTCTACTCCGTTGTTTAGTCATTTCTGCCTGCACATAACATAACCTTTGACCTTCGTCTAAATGGACACACAAGGCGACGAGTCAATACGAAAAAAAGCTATTAACTGATAATCATTATAACTATAAGGAATCCAAAGCAACAGATCAACTTTCTACAAGAAAAACAAATGCCCATTATTTTTAGAAATAGATGTCTCTCATGTTATCAAGACATAGCTCATCTACAGAAACGTCAGTCTCATATCTTGAAACTCACTGGCGCATGTTTTCTCACCATTTCATCACCAAACGGTATTTTTTTTTTTGGCAAAGTTCATCCTAATAAAAAACAAACAAAAAAAACAATGTGCCCCAGTTCGCAGAGGACGTCAAATACCCCTGACGGAGAGTGATCTCCTTCGATGTGTCGTTCAACGCAGGAGGACAACACGCACAGGAAACATTAATGCCTGTGTTGGTTTTTTTTTTTTTTTTTTTTTTTTTTTTACCAAAGGGGAGAGATCCAACAGAGATCTAAGTCCTTCCTTCTGGTTTTCAGCATGGTTGATAAAACGTGTTTCAGTAAATCAACTCCAAAGGTCCAACTTACCATCCAGGGCCATTCAGTTTTCCGTGCCTTTCCGGACGGCACTTGCTTGAACCTTTTCAACCCGCAGACTATAAACAGAAAACAACGAAAAAAAGCATCCAGCATAAAATTAACTTTAATACAACATATATAAATATCTACCGGGTGTTTCTTTTTCTTTCTTTTTTTTTACTTTACAGATGTGTTTAAAACATACCGTGAAAGTTACACTTGTGCGGTTTGTGCAGGACAGGTAAACGGCCAGGGGGACATTATGTGAGTGACAAATCTTTACGATAAGCCGGCTAATTAATTAGAATTCGTACTTAACTTTTAATAAGTGAAAATAGACATATGGTTCCAATTAGAAACTTACTGAGCGTCATCGAAAATCACTAAATCAACTCTTTTTAGAACGAGTTGAAGCCCGTGGGAAATTCGGGGGCGCGCCAAAGTTACCACTCGTGAAGTAGGCGCAAAGCTAGCAGTGGCGGAACGCGGATGATTAGATTATCATCTTGTTCCGCCGTCAAAAAACCTTAACACTTTTTTTTTTTTTTTTTTAGGTTTCGAAAGAAGTTTGCGAGATATGAAAAAAATTAAAAAAAAAAAAAAGTTGGACTTTGCGCATGTGCACCTTGTAATGCAGCGCTCTGAGCCGTGGCTTGAATAAACTAGGCCTGCATGCTAATAGACTGTTGACTGTTCACTCGGCGCTGCTGACAAATTTGCGTTTTATTCTGTTTTTTTTTTCGTAATTCGGGCCTTTTTTTTTTTTTTTTTTTTTTTTGAAGCCCGGAAAAAATTAATTGTGTATAAGGTTTCTTAATGAAAAAAAAAAACTGAATTGGAAGTTTTTGAGGACGCTCTACAACTTCGTCATTTGAACTTCTGCTCTAAATTGAATATTTCAAAAGTTCAGTAATGAATCTTAATTAATTAGTTAATTAGGCCAAATATTAAAAAAGTTGCCTGACTTACCCCCAACAATGAACAACCTTATTCGTTTGGTTTCGTCTTCCTAAAACTCACCAAAATACTTTTAACCTTGGCTCAAGTTAGGTGGAATATCCCTCTCCCTCTCTCTCTCTCTTTCTCTCTCTCTCTCTCTATATATATATATATTTAGTGAGTCGACGTTTCGGCCTGAGACAGGCTTGAAGAAGGCCTGTCTCAGGCCGAAACGTCGACTCACTAAATGCTTTAAAACTCCAACAACGTTTCGAAGTGCGACTTCATTACTTTATAGTCTTCGGCATCCTACGCTATATATATATATATATATATATATATATATATATATATATATATATATATATATATATATATATATATTTATATATATGGTGAAGTAAGGTAAATATGAAAACAATGGACCGGAAAAAGTTAATAAGTCAAAGATGCGTACTGTCGGAGTTACTAATTCGAAGTTTATTACGACGTTTCAAGCGGGGACCGCTCTTCATATATATAGTATACATATATATGAATGAGGCTGGGCTAAACACAAACCAGCGCCGAGTGTATTTTACGGTTTCTTGGTATTACGTGGAACAGAATTTCCAATGTGACGTCACGACAGCGAACCAAGGAGGTCGTTACCGTCAGCAACCGGGTAAATGGTCGACGGGCACGTAATCAATGCCCAGTCTACTCCTCTTTCCTAGCAAAAATGTGGTTCATGCTCAGCAAACTATCTGAATTTAGATAGAGCCAGTGGCGTCACAAGGGGGCTGCGAAGAAGGGAGGGGGGGCGGGGGGGGAGGGTGGGGGTTCTCCCCCCCCCCCCCCCTTCGCGACGCGCCGAGAGGGGGGGTTTGTTGCGGGCCACCGCCCCGGGTGCCGCTGACCCTAGTAACGCCACTGGATAGAGCTCCTCGGATGAAATCAGGTAACCTTCGAAGCGCATGAATAACATATCAGCATTGATTCAAAGTCTGCATTTACATGCTATAGCGATGGTCTCACACTCATTTAAGTGTGGGGGCCAGATATCCCACATCGGAAAGGTCGAGGGCCAACAAAAATGGGGTGGAGGGGCTGAGGGGGGCTGAGGGGGGGATGAGGGGGGAGGAAGAGACTTCGTGGTTTATACTTTTTGTAAACTCCGAGTCTTGCCAGTTCACCTTTAGTTTTGATTTGTTTATAAGACTACTTTGGATTATGACCTGATGTGATTAGAATTAAAATGACATCGCCACGCCAAACTGCTGACATTTTTAATAGAAGTACAACATTTTTAATAGAACAAGTAGAGGATTTTAATAGAACGTGTGCACTGTCGTTCCCACTGCTCAATTTACCCAGGAATTAACCAAGCTCAAAATGTCGCTGAAAAACAATCAGTTAATATGACAGTTGTTGCTATCTTGAGGATTTTTAGTACAACACTCGAACAACTTGTGTACCTTTTTAGATTACTGTGTGCCGTTTGTTTTAAACAGAGAACAAGTAGATGCAATATACTTTGATTTGTCAAAAGCCTTCGATAAAGTGAGTCACGTGTTGCTTTTGTCCAAGTTGCATCTGTATGGTGTCTGTACAGAATTGTGTAACTGGTTTAAGAGTTATTTGTCTTTTCGATCAAATAGTGTTCGGGTCGCTGACAGTTATTCCAAAGAGTTTTTTTCAATATCAGGCGTGCCCCAGGGTTCAATTTTGGGTCCTCTACTGTTTTCAATTTTTATAAATGATATAGCGTCATGTGTAAAGAACGTTGAACTGCTTTTGTTTGCTGACGATATCAAGTTGTTTAAGAGTGTTCACTGTCATTTAGATTGTGATCTGATACAACATGATGTGTCTAATATAGCACAGTGGTGTAAACAAAATCAGTTATTTCTTAATCCTTTAAAAACAAAAGTGATATCTTTGTGCAGACGCCGCGCGATCATAAATAACACTTATCATCTTGAGGGAAATCCGATTGAACGAGTGTCAATTGTAAGGGATCTTGGTGTGTTAATTGACTGCGGATTAACTTTTAAAAATCATGTCTCTTTTGTTGTCAGCTCTGCAATGAAAGTTCTAGGAGTTATATCGCGTTTGACCAAGCATTTTAGAAAGCCCCATTGTTCAATACATCTTTTTCAATCCTTAGTGGTTTCAAGGCTTGAGTTTGCTTCTGTGATTTGGAATTCAATTTCTGTAACACAGGCTTTGATCATAGAACGTGTGCAAAAAAGATTTGTTCGAATTGTTTATGATAGATGGATTGGACGACGCGTGTATTATGACTATGAATGCTTACTGAATAGATTTTCGCTGAAGCTTTTATCACACAGAAGAACAGTCCTTGACTTGGTATTCCTGCATAAGATCATTAATGGTGCCATTGATTCTTCATGGCTTATTAGTAAAATCCATTTCCATGTTCCTTTCCGTGCGACGAGACAGCTCACCTGTTTTGATATTTGCTCACCATGCCGTGTGTCACCTCTTTCTCGTTTACAGACATTGTATAACAGCATTGTGCCACCCCAAGTTGACATCACCACACCCCTGCCTACATTTCGCTGTCAGTTGGACGAACTTTTCGTCACTTCATAGCGCGTCAGTGTATATGCATATCTATTTCTTTTTAATGAGTAGGATTTTTGTTTAAGAGTTTTATTGTACGAGTTGGTGTACCTAAGAGAAGGCCGCTCGGCCGTTTTAGGGCACCCGAAAAATAAAGATTATTATTATTATTATTATAAATACTTGTCTTTTAATAGTGATATACTTTTGAAGACGAACATCCCGAGCTCGTAGCTTTATCTTTGGCAGTTGCTCATGCTGATCGAGAGTTCGCGCAGCCGCGATGCATCCATCAATGAATAGCTTGTGCTTAAAGCCTAGCAGCGGAATCATTGTAGATTACAAAAAGCTGGGAAGCAAAATTTAAATCAAAACAAAATGTAAATGAATACAAAAAAGTATAAACTATGTGAAATCCCTAATAAAGCAGAGCTACTTTTCAAGCGAAAAGTAAGCGACGAAATGAGATCACTATGGCGCAGGCCAATTCTTGCGCTCGAGACATGAGAACCGGGACTCGTAGCCACCTGCCTGCGGGCCGCCTGCCAGCGAGTCGCGAGCCGCATGCAGCCCGCGGGCCGCGTGTTTGAGACCCCCGTACCCGCACGAAACCAATAGGGTTGTTATCACGTACCGAAAGCCGAAAGAGTCCACTGTTCCAATCAAAATAGAAGTCGGGAAAGTCAAAATAGGAGAAACTTACATTCATCGTCACAGAGGCAGGCGGTTACCAGGAGCAGAGTAGCCAGTCCGTAGTAAACGACGTTCATGTTGGACACTGCTAGCAATGTGAAATTATGAGCGACTGATAAACATGACCTAGGTTATATGAGAGGGATAGAAAAAAGAATTATACAAAGAAGCCGGTGGCCCGCATTGTATACAGACATACGGCTTAGACGTACAAGCAAACCACTTCGTGGAAGGGAAGCAAGAACAGAAAGAAAAAGAGAGAAACGAAAAGGCGGAACAACTTAAGAAAATGTGGCTCAACAGTTACCGTATAAACTGGAATATATGTCGAAGCCCTAATTTACAAGTTGCAAAAAGCGAAAAAAAGTTTTTATGGCAAGAAAATGCAACCTTACCTTGGTAAGAAATTGGCCAAGTATACGGAAGGACGAGAAAAAACGGCACATTTCTTTAATCGCTTCGCACACAATAAAACAGGAAGTGCGCGAGCGTTACTACTCAGATTCTTCAGAACCTACGTCCGACGACGAGTTCACTAACGCAATTCAAAGGGACGATGCCGTGCCTTTGAATTGCGCCCTCGAGAGCCCGGAGGCACGAGTGACCTCGACGGCTTTCGTACGGAAGCACTCAGACATCACAGGTAGCGATCTGGCGCGCAGACCCCGAATAAAATTTGCCACTTTTGTTTCCGATTCAGGGTACACCGCAGTCCTTCCACGGAATGAAGTTTTCTCCAGCTTGCTGCACGCCGCCAGTTTTTGTCTCCGGCCCCGCTAGTAGCGTCTCCTACTTCCGCTCACTATCACTCCGGGACCGGCACCGGTCGATGTACTAAACCAAGGGGCACAAGTGAAAGTGAATCGTGACCATCGCATTGGACCATCGTGACAAGTGGACGAGTGCGAGGCGATTACAAAGAAAAACAAGATGGCGGCTTCAGCCACCGAGTGTTGCGAGGTTATTTTTGTTTTTCCGATAATGACTCTTATATAAGACGAGGGTCGACTTTTTCAGGCCCATTTTCAAAAATAAATTCGACCTATATTCCGGTTTATACGGTACTTCGTTCGATTTCCTTGCATCTCCTGCACTGGTGCAGAAAAGTGTAGGGCGGTGTACTTCCGGTGGTATCTCTCAATACGCACACCGGAAGTACACTGACCTACACTTTTCTGCACAGATAGGAGAATCGAACGATGCTAGTGATGGCATACATAGAAGTGCACTGATATATCAAGGTTAAAAAAACAGACGCGAGGCAACTTGTCGCAAATGGCAGGAAGACGAAGACACGTTACTATACATTCCGCGAATGCGTCTATATTTGCGGATAATGTTGAATACGCTATACTTTCGTCTCGCGGTAAGTCCGAACGCAGCCAACACTACACTTTGATGGAGCCAATTTCAAGCGGCACCAAAAGTGCATTGTAATGGCGCTCGTCGTCTTTGTTCGTTTACATTCTCCGGCTAAACCAATCGTGCAGAGAAAGAAAGAAGCGCAGGATCACGACGCTGTGAGTGATTGGTTTAGACGGCGATAGAAAACGCACAAAGACGACGAGTGCCGGGGCGATGCACTTTTGGCGCTGCTTGAATGGCTCCATTGGATATTGTAGCGTTGGCTGCGGTCAGTGAAACGAAATATACTTTACTATGCGGAGCGCAAGTTCCTCTGCTTCTTGCACAGGGGTTGCGATGATGCCAGAACGCCGAGCTCTCATTGGTTGATTGAAAACAAATATTGGGTAGACCTCAAGGCATCTAGTATTGAGGTCTACCCGCTAGCCTTTCGATCAAAGCCAATCGGAGCTCGGCGTCGTTCTGGCGTAACCGCAACTCCTGCGCAAGAAGCAGACGACTTGAGACCTTTGCAAAAATCGCCTTCTGCGAGCTGCCATTTTTGTCTGCTGGGCTGTCGAACGCCTTCTGAGCATGCGCTCTTGCTCTGCTGTGCGGTGTATCAGACGCATGCGCATGCGTCCACAGCTCAGTGAGTCAGCATTTTGGGCCCAGGTGATAAGCGATGCAAAGGTCTATACTTCGTTTCAGGTTCAGTCCAGACGCACCCGACGCTTCGAGCAAATGGGGTCAATCAAGCAGCGCCAAAAGCGCAAGTCAAGGCCTTTTCTATTTACGATTGGTTCGGTGATGATAGAACACCTGCGGAAACATGACGAACACCATATGAATCCGCGCTTTTGACGCTGTCTGTTTGGTCCCATCAGCTCGTTGCGTCGGTTGCGTCTGTCGCCGTCTATACTCCGTCTCATCCTACGATAGACTAAAGCCCAATGCTACAGGCCGCCGTGCCCAATGGCGAGCTTGTTATAAACCACGTGCTATATTTGCTCTAGTGCGCCAAGACGCGTCATGCGGAGGCGAGTCTGTCGTCTGCTTTTCGAGCTCTCGCGGAGGCTCCGTCTGCTTGCTACTACTGAAGACTACTGAAGGAATTAAGTACCACCTGGAAGTGATGTGGCGAAGACAACCCGGTATCAGAACCAGTGGCCATTAAGAAATGGAGATGAGTTGGATCGAGTGTTCGACACGGGAGTGTATGTACGGATCACGTGCGGAAGGAAGATAGGGATACGGGTACGTACACAACGATGGGATTGGATTGTTACGGTTAAGGCGAAAATACTTTATGTCAGTGCTGCCTACGTGCCTTATAAATTCTTCAAACTGTTGAAATTTTTACGAAATATGGCCATGAATGTTTATGAAACTAAATAACATGTACCTTTACTTAACCAATATAAAAGAGCGCGCTATCACAACAGACAACCATATGCGTAAGCTTAGTGCTCTTCGTACTCTGCCTATCGTAATTTTTATTGCGCACTCTTTTGCAATGCGGATGCAAGCTTTCCGGACGTAGTGTTTTGCCCTCCAGCCTTCGGGCCCTAGTCCATCGTAGGGTGAGACGGAGTATAGTATAGACGGCGACAGACGAAGTATAGACCAACTCCACTCACTGATGTCACGCCACAGTGCTGGCGTTGCTATCGGTGCGGCGCATATGCAAACGCTTCACTCCTTCCGAATTTGGTTTCTGCGCATGCGCAGTGAAAACACCTGGTGTGGGCAAAGCGGGCTTGCTTGTAAACACTGTGTTAGTGTATAATGTGTTTAACCGTACAAGTGAGCGACATTTCTAACAGGCACTTCAATTTCTTCGCAGTGTTCTGTCATACAAGCAACTCAATACCTATGTCGCGAAGGACCGTGAACATTCTTGTCGCCAGTAGCAGTAGCACTGATAAAAAATACTGATATGTGCACGAGGAGAAACATCACTTTTGACTACTGGCAAGGTATCATCAACGTCTCCTCCTCTCTCCCATTATAAATTTATCTGGGATGACAATCATCTGAGCAAGCTAAATGCTCTGTAATTTATTTATTCCTTTATTTTTACGTCCACAGTATCCATTGCATTGACTTCAAGGCACGCCCTTTAGTTTGAAACGCAAATTGATGCACGTGGAACGCTCAGTATTTCATCGCTTGTAATGATATGCGCCCACTGGAATATTAGATTACATAACGTCCTTATACCTTTCAGACTAGAAAACTAAATATTAAATTAATTTTCGAATCCCGCTAGTTTAAAAAAAAGAAATTGTCCACTCATTCTTTTTGACAAAAGGCAGTCGATTTAATGGCTGATGCTCTGTGTTATTCACTATTGAGATTGTTTTCTGAAGAATGCAATCTCAAGACTACGTGTGGATATTTCAGAAAATTAATCGTGTTCCTTTCTGCTACGCAATAACTAACGCACTAATTACATTAAAGTTGAATTTGAGGCATTTAGGGGGTATGGCCTCTGATCTATATATAATTTCTTGTGTTCTTTTAAATGTCTTTCTCGCCACTGTATGTACCTGAGGGGGGCTGAGGACCAGTCAAGCTGCTTGGACAGCTTTTTTCCTCAGCCCCCACCATGCGTATACATGGTAAATAAAGCTATTATTTATATTATTATTATTATTATTATTATTATTATTATTATTATTATCTTGTAGACCACGTTTAAAGCATAGTTTGAATATAACCAGCATGATCAAACGTGTGCTGCATACGGCAGAAGAGAGGCGCGAGCAAAGGCAACCGAAATATTCCAAATCACTTCTTATTGTCCGTCTTTAAATATTGATGTATGCTATTAGTTGCTCATAGCTCATAATAAAATGTTACAAGTTGATATAGAAAAAATAAAATACCACTCTGCAAAACTTAGGTAAAATAGGCTAATCGTTGACAGCCCCCCGAGGTCTGCAATCACGAAGATAACTCCTGACCTGAACATCAGTAAAGCAGCGCAGATAGTTCTAAATCTATATCTCTATGATATGTTGTGTAATTATTTGCAAATAGAGTAATAAGAAACCAAACTACTTTTTTTCTTCTTCTTTAAGAGGGCTCGTCCAACGGGGAAACGTCTGAACACCTATCATGAAACCATTAACGATAAAAAAAAAAAAAACACTGCTTTAAAATATGACACTTCAAAAACAAATGAGCAAGTAGCTGTTTGTCTTGAAAACAAACAAAAAGAAGAGACCGCGGAACGCAAAAAACAATCCTGCAATAGTTTTTTTTTTTTTTTAATTTCTTTTGAAGCAGCATTTGTTTTTGTTTCTTGGTTCGTTTTCAAATACTTTGCGCATATAGCTTTTCTCGTTATTCCCACACGTTCTGATATATTGCCCAACGTTTGAACTATGTCTGAAGGAAAGTAGATCAATGAACAATCAAAATACGTCAACTGAATCTTAGGAGCAAAGAGGAGAAAATAAAGGAGCACAAACCGGGGGAGTTAGTAAACACCTTGCATTTCTAACACCGCTGGTTACTACAGTCGTCATCGTCATCTAGTCGAATATCTATGTACTGCATCATTTTACGCGGAGCACAAGAGACTCTACATTAGAGCTCTGCACGGGCCCGAGGCGTGCTTTATCTCCCATTATCGAGGCACCTCCAGCCGGGCCGGACTCGGGCCGGGCCGGATCAGGTAGGCATCCCATCGGGCCGGGCCCGGGTCGGATAAGACTGACAGTCAACGGGCCCGGACTGGGTCGGGCCTCAAAAGAT